CTTTCGTCGAAGTCCCTGTGGCACAATTTTGTCGGAGGAAAACAGGAAACTATAGAAAAATGAAGTTCAGTTGGTCTTTTGCGTACCGATTCCAAAGCAAAAAAACATTGGGGGATATTTTTCGGGGGAGAGAAGATCTCCTCTTCAAACATTGCCTCTTAAATTGAAATATTTGGTCCAAGTAAGGTGAGACGACAGTCACTCCTTTCATTAACACGACTCTCCGTCCACCGACTCGTTTTTTCGTATGTCCACTCAAAATGCAACATATCTTACCCATCCCACCAACTTGAAAATATTCTGATGGATTTGTCTGATTCCCCAATCTTATGGGAGTTCCCCTGTGGGCCTTCAACGTGAAAAATGATGGGAAATTTTCATGTTTCTCATACAGTGGTTGCCTTTCAACCCCAGTACTTTTAAATCGAATGAATTTCACTAATTCGCCTTCCTGCCCTTGTGCGGAAGGCACTGAACCTTGGCTAATTTGTTTGTTCTGGGTAAAAAAAAAATTAACACCCTTGAGCTGCCGTTTACGGTTAGGTCTGTCACGTTTTAACCTTCCTGGTTTCAATGGTCTGCCGGCATGGCAAAAGCCCAATCGAGTTAGGCATAGGGTTTTTAATGGAAATTAATCGTTGGAAATCGGTCCCGCACCTTCACCAAACTTTATACAATTGATTTTCATCTTCATTTTTTCAATGGTCTGCCGGCATGGCAAAAGCCCAATCGAGTTAGGCATAGGGTTTTTAATGGAAATTAATCGTTGGAAATCGGTCCCGCACCTTCACCAAACTTTATACAATTGATTTTCATCTTCATTTTTACTATGGTGAACCCATTGAGCAGAACACGGAAGATGGAGCAAAATAGAAGCATGCTCGACCTCTGGCGGCGACTCAAGCAAGAACAGGACTCCCAAGTCAGAATTAAGATGACGCCCATTTCGCCGCTTCAGAGACTCGTCCATCGTTGCACGCCTGCTTTCGACAAGGAAGTGAGCGCTTCGTCCCTTGAGAAACAAGGAGGGCTCATCTCAAGTTGGTGCTTTACACTCTCCCTTCCGAGTCATTCATTCGGGATGGGCGAAAGATGCTAATTGGGACTCGGGGAAGAGACGTCTCACCTCTCGGCTCGAGAGGCTTTTCCGCTTGGCAAGGAGGCAGACGAGCGTCCGGCTCGGAAGGAGGGCAGTGGAGTGTCGTAGGGCGTTGTTCTTCCAGATGTTCGAAATGGAGTCTTTCCTTTATTGCTTCTGAGATGGAGCTTCCTTTTTCCTATATTGCATCGGACAAACGTACGTGCACTCGGCGAGTGATTTTTCCAATTTTAGAAACCCAGTACAAATGTCTTTCTTCGATGGTATGTAAGGGTCTGCTGACACGTTTCATGCCCATTATTTATCGGGTATTTCTTAATCAGGCGAATGAAGCGGCAAAAACCTCCCGTCCTCAATGGAACACACTCGAGGTCATTGATTCGCTTCCTTCGTAATCATTAATTAATTATTTAATTATTTGATTGATGATGCTCAGTCAGCCCTCTGAGTTCCGACGACGGGTGGCACACGCCCTATCGCTGACGATTTTATCGTGATTTCTGAAAGAAAGAGAAATTCATATCTGATATCATCTCAGAACCCAGGACGTGCCAGAAATTTCGGCTCTGGCCTACAGGATTAATGGAGGCTTAACGGATCAGGGAACGTTCTGAAATAGATTGTCATGCTTTTCAATGATGATCATTAGCCATCCGAAGTGAAACGGGAAAGACGCATTTGTGATTAATTTCCACTTGATGGAACATTTCCTCTTGATTCTGCGGCCTCGCAGGCCTCTCTTCGATTTCGAAGGCCTGCCCTCCATTTCGAAGGCCTCCACTCGACATCGATGGGAGGGAAACAACACTGAGAAGTGATGGAACGGGGGTGAGCGACATCGGAGATAAGGATATCATCATGCACGACATGTTTGTACTCTAGACCTCCTCTAGATCTCCGCCTTCTCGCCCGTGAATAGGGAGATCTCGTCGGCATGGGCTTCTTCCACTGGTTTTTCCTCGTGTTAATCGGCGCCTTCGTTCATCACGTGTTGAAGCGTGACCCCCCGCCCATTTTTGGGGTGTACCGGAGACCGGGGAAGTGGTACTACGTCAAGGTCCTCGTCTTCCGCGCTCTTCTGTGGCTAAGAAAGGTCGGTACTGCTGTCAGTTCATTAGAATGTCATGATTTTTCGCGTCGCTAAAGTGCAGGCTGATGGGAATCTGTCACACAAAGATTAATGATTCCAAGAAGGAATCTCACGACTTAGCGAAAATGGCTCGTGGCTTCACGGTAATAGCATGAAACTAACTCTACATGGAATAAGGGGATAGCGGGTCAGATGGAATCCCATACTTACCCAAGTTACCCAAGGTACCCAGGTTAACCAAATTACCCAAGTTACCCAAATTACCCAGGTTACCCAAGTTACCCAGGTTATCCAAATTACCCAGATTATCCAAATTACCCAGATTATCCAAATTACCCAGATTATCCAAATTACCCAAATTACCCAGGTTACCCAAGTTACCCAGGTTATCCAAATTACCCAGGTTACCCAAGTTACACGCGAACGTTCAGGAGGATGTTCGACCCTGGCTCGAAGAGGTTCTTTTGCGTTTGAGGTTCAGTCATGAGCAGCTTTTAAAAGCTCAATTTTGGCGTTGTTTATCGTCAATACATGACGTCATTGAAGGTCGCTCGTCCAGCGTTACAGAGGCGTTTTTCTGCGCTCTTCGAAAATGGCTATAATCAAAGGTTCACACAACTGAGGATAGATGTCGCCAGTGTCGGCTTTGGCGTGTCAGTGCCCTGCACAGCTGGAATTAGTCTCCATTACTTTCCTTGCGATGCCCGATCTTTCGATCTCCCAAATGCACCGCAGAGGAAGACGTTTGAATTCTTAAGGAAAATATCGGATTTATTATTGAGAGGTTACCCAGCCCAACGAGTCTCGAGAAAACTTGGGCCTGAACGCATGGAGAGAGATCGGTTCGATTCCCGAAGCGACTCCACGAACAGGTTGCATGAAACGACGTGGCGGACCCGCCACATCACATACGGCGGGTGTCATGCGCAATTTCGTCGAACAGTCGACTTGGAAACGTCCAGCTCATCGGCAATGCATGGAATTTTCTGTTTTCACGAACGGGTCGCTCTTCGATCATGTCGGCCGCGTGAGATGCGGCGGGCCGGCTAGGTCGTGGTTCGTCTCGGCCTACTTATAACCAGAAACAGATGTACTTCTTGGACGTGGCGCTCGGGACAATATACCTCTTGCAGTCGAAGATGAACTTCAGCCGGTGGAGTTCCGTTAGCATTGAGAAATCTTTTTATCGAAGGGAGAATGCAGTCCCTTCATTCACGCTAATTTTCAAGTCCGTGCTCGACAATGTCTTTCGCACAGCATCATCTTCGACCTTATTTTTCGGACAGCCTTTCGTACGTCCTTTTATCGATGCCTGGGAATCCTTCACGAAACTGATCCAAATATTTCTATTCCTTAAGAAAAGGAGGAATGGGCGTGGGAAGAAGTTCCCATGGAGCCAACCGCCCTACCTTCGTCCTCCAAAGCCAGAGTTTCCTGGGGGCTCCATGGGCTGGGGAATCTCTCTGTTGGCTCCATGGGCAGGGGAATCTCTCTGTTGGCTCCATTCGTTGAAGGGTGGGATGTGGTTTCTTGGGGCGCCTGGGGGGGGGGGGGGGAGAGCCGGCGGCGTGTGGAGAAGATTGGGGACTGGTTTCAGCTGTAGCAGGTTTTGACTTGCTAAAGCGGCTGCTTTAGAACCATTTGCTTTGGTTGTGCGAATAATCTCATCGTTGAAGACAATGTTGCATGGAAAGCACAAATGTGCTTAAAGGAAATATCTAAGGTTCAACGAACGTCCCTCAAAAAGTCATGAATTGGCGATGGAACGACATCTTGGCTATGAGCCCGAAAGCTGCTCATCCGTGAACATGGTACGTCCCATAACCTCTTTGAAAGCAGAAAGTTCATGCGTTCGTGTGTTTGCAAAAGCATTCCATCGGAGGCGAGGAGACGCATGCCAAGTGCATTGAGGTCGGTAAAGAGAGCCAGGCTTGGGTTTTCTGGGAAGGGTTGGTAAAGAGGGGCGTTTGCATGGGTTCCGTCACCATCTTCCGATACCGCTTGCAGCCATTTGAAAGATCTTTAGAGAGAACTGTTCTCTGCTCTGGGAAGAAAAAGTAAAGAAAACCAATGAAGGTCAAGTTAGCAGAGCCCACCTATTCCATCGTTGATTCGACACGAATCGAACGAGCCCGAGCGTCTTCGTTGCCCATCCTCCCCGACTCATTCATTCACGATCTTCCCTCCGTACATCGCCGATCCAACTCCCTCCGCACTCCCGCACCCGACAGACACATCTGAAGCGGAAAGGCTCGGGAAGCGCCGGCTTGGGCTTCGGAAGGAAGAAGACGCTGAGCCCCCTGCAGATGGACGGCCTCCGCCCTCTCTCGAATCACCCGAAGGCCATCGACGCCGTGTACTTCAGCGGGGCGAGCGAGGAAGGGTGCTACTTGGTGGGGGCTGCGGCGAGGCGGCCCCAGGGCGTCGTCGATGGGTATCTTCACATCAGGGTACAGTGCATGATGTACTCGTACTTGCGAACGTGGATTTCACGGGATGATGGGTTTCGTTCCGACTCGATAGATCCCGGGGGTGGGGCTGTTGCGGAGTCCGAAACTTCCCGACACGACGCTGAAGATCGACACGGACGCGGGAGACGACGAGGATCAATTCGGCGCGGAGGGACTTCTTTTCACCCCGCTCGAACCCATGAGACGCTGGGGAATCCGCTACCACGGTCCCATGAAGTAAGTCCCAGGACCGAAAAAATGTCTCGGACTCGGCCGATTCGTCACTTTTCGCTTGGGCGCAGGCTGGACGAGAAGACGGTGCAGGTGGATCTCCAGGGCGAATGGATCAGCGACCTGGCGTATTTCGACTTCGACACGGATTTGAGTCCTGGCACGCTGGCGAGGTCTTTGGCAAAGGAACCCTGGTCGAGGGAATACTTTCAACGCCTTCGAGAGTCCGTCACAATTTTTTTTTCCTCGGAATGAATGTTACAGAAAAATCCAGCGGTGTTTTGTCTCTGGCAGCACCCATCAGAACCACTACGAACAAATGGGTCGCATCGAGGGGTCGGTCCGGATCCACGACACGGAGTACAGTTTACGTCTGGACTCGATGAGGGACCACACCCACGGTATGTCGTCTTGCCATGTTGTCGACCTCGGTCGTGTCGTCGGTAATTCGAGGGCGAGAAGATCTGCCGCAGCCGAGAAACGTGATTGGAGCCACATGCACCGTTACGGATTCCACACGTTTTTCCTGGAAGACGGGACGAAGGGGAACGTGGGGGTCGCCTCGCTCCCTCTCACCTGCTCGCTGTAAGGGTCCTTTGCGTCTAGGGGAATCTTCCAGGGGATTTTTCATCGGGTGTCGTCGGGTAGGTTGGAGGTGGGGTACGTGTACGCGAGGGGAGGGGAGTTGGTCCCGGTGGATTCCGTGGATTTGCCTCTCTGGCAGCACGGAGAAGGCGGGATGCCGCCCAAGGATTATGCCTTCAGTTTCTGTGCAGGTGAGGACTATATTCTTTTCTGTCCTTTAAGGAGTTGGGAGTTTACGACATGTATTTCTTCTGGGGATCGTTTTCAATGTAACAATTTCTTACGAAACCCTACTTCACAAACACAACTTTTAATAGAAAGCCTCCTAGATGAAAAAGTTTTTGCCCGCATCAAGAATAATGATGCAAAACCTTTCGTGTCGATTCGCCAGGAGGAAAGCAGTACTGGATGGAGGTGAAGGTACTGGAATCCCCCGAGCTGTTGATAGCTGCAGACTGGGAGGCTCGAGTCGTCCTCCGCATGGTCGCCTTCACCTGCAACCGCCTCAAGGGTTGGGGCGTCGCCGAGTGGCAATATTGCAATCCGGACGGGAGGAGGGTTCAAGGATTCCAACGGAGTTCCTGATTGCCAGCGGTGGCGTTCTTTTTGATTTTAGGGTCGACTTCGTAAGGCGTTCGTGTTTTCTTCTGCTTCTTGGGTGTTGATCTTTCCGACTTCTTTCTGGTGTGGTGATTTTCGTTTCACCGAGTTTGTGGTCTTCGTGTTGAGAGTGTGAATTGGTATGAAAGTCTGAAATGAAATGAATGCCAAGTCGGTCGTTACAATGTCATTATCTACGCAAAGACGTTGTTTATAACCGTATTTCAGGTATGGTAGATATTTGAAATGTGGTATCCAAGTACATACGAAGGATACTTAAAGTTCATGAGAAATCCATCTTTCGTCGAAGTCCCTGTGGCACAATTTTGCCGGAGGAAAACAGGAAACTATAGAAAAATGAAGTTCAGTTGGTCTTTTGCGTACCGATTCCAAAGCAAAAAAACATTGGGGGATATTTTTCCGGGAATAAAAACTTTCCTATTCAAACATTGCCTCTTAAATAGAAATATTTCGTCCAAGTAGGGTGAGACGACAGTCACTCTTTTGATTAACTCGAACCTCCGTCCACCGACTCGTTCTTTCGTATGTCCACTCAAAATGCAACATATCTTACCCATCCCACCAACTTGAAAATATCCTGATGGATTTGAAGGTTCCCCCAATCTTATGGATGGACCCCTGTAGGTCATCAACGCCAAAAAAAATATGGAAAATTTTCATGTCCCTCAAATCGTGGTTGCTTTTCGACCCCATTTCTTTTATATCGAATGAATTTTACTAATTCGCCTTCCTGCCCCTTGTGCGGAAATCATTGAACCTTGGCTAATTTGTTTGTTCTGGGTAAAAAAAATGTTAACTCCCTTGAGCAACTTTGGGATTGTCCTTTTCTACAAAATTAATTCTTCTCTTTTTCTCGACGACAAATTTCTCTTACCTATATTCATTGAAAAAAAACCATAAAAACAGTTTCCCTCTTCATGTCAAAATTCCCATTGATTTTCTAGTCATATTAGCAAAAGTGCTTTAAAAAAAAAAATTACATGGCAATGTTACCTCACTACATACGAAGGAAACTTCAAGTTCATGAGAAATCCTTCTTTCATCGAAGTCCTTGTGGCACAATTTTGGCGGAGGAAAACAGGAAACTAGAAATATGCAGTTCAGTTGGTCTTTTGCGTTCCGATTCCAAAGCGAAAAACAATTTGGGGGATATTTTTCGGGGAATAAAAACTTTCCTCTTCTAACATTGCCTCTTAAATAAAAATATTTGGTCCAAGTAGGGTGAGACGACAGTCACTCCTTTCTTTAACACGACCCTCGTCCACTGACTCGTTCTTTCGTATGTCCACTCAAAATGCAACATGTCTTACCCATCCCACCAACGTGATAATATTCTGATGGATTTGAGGGATTCCCCAATCTGATGGAAGTTCCCCTAGAGGCCTTCAACGCCAAAAATGATGGGAAATCTTCATGTTGTTCCTCAAACCGTGGTTGTTTTTCGACCCTAGTTCTTTTATATCGAATGAATTTTACTAATTCGCCTTCCTGCCCCTTGTACGGAAATCATTGAACCTTGGCTAATTTGTTTGTTCTGGGTAAAAAAAAATGTTAACTCCCTTGAGCATCTTTGGGATTGTCCTTTTCCACAAAATTAATTCTTCTCTTTTTCTCGACGACAAATTTCTCTTACCTATAATCGTTGAAAAAAAAAACATAAAAACAGTTTCCCTCTTCATGTCAAAAGTCCCATCGATTTTCTAGTCATATTAGCAAAAGTGCTTTAAAAAAAAAACTTACATGGCAATGTTACCTCACAAGAGACACCATTGTTGTTGTTTTTTATTTACATTTATACACCGAAAAAAATTCTCTTTCGCAGGGATGGGTTTTATGAAGCCGACGATCGGCCATCTCTCATCCTTATAATTATACCTAATATATAAAGGTAAAGGTAATATATAAAAATCTGTCCATATCAGGGTGCAATTCCGGGAAATTCTTCTCGGATGGATGAACGGACTTTCATGCGTGAGATGTCAATCGAAAGCTTAAGGCCTGGAAACAAGTCTTTGTAGATTAAACGTCCAAAAAACCATTCAATCTTCACTTAATAAGGCCAAATTTCGGTTGTAAGAATAGCATTGTCCTAGCAAAGCCCGCTTTGGCCATTGAGCTTCTGAATTCAATATCTCTCCGTATTTGCTCCAACTCGACCGGAAACTATCTTGCCAACCTCGATACACGCCCTACACGAGAGGATCCCTCAGGTGATGCTAAAAAGAAGCGGTCGTCAAAGACCGTCAGTCAAATGTTTCAGAGGGATTCAAGCACCTCATCATGAAATTAATAGTGGAATAATTACCCGCGTATCCATTAATTGGCCATCAGGAATTTGATAGTGTCCGAACTGTCTCGAGACTGGGAAGCCTCGTTGAAAAAAAAAAAATTTCGAGGGCGAACCGGGATAGTTGGGAACTTAAAAGTGAGAAAATTGCGAGCAGTGTTGACCTGAAAATGGACTTTCAAGGTAGCGATCATCCAATGTGAAATGGCCTGACATCGAAATCACACTCACCCGTAGCACAGAATGAGGATTTTCTTTTCGGAGTTCAGAGGCATGTCTGTCACGTTTTAACCGTGCTGGTTCCAATGGTCTGCCGGCATGGCAAAAGCCCAATCGAGTCAAGTATAGAGTTTGTAATGGAAATTTTATCGTTGGAAATCGGTCCCGCACCTTCACCAAACTTAACACAATTAAGTTTGGTGAAGAGAAGACACATGCGTCTCCTTCCCGCCGACGATCGAACCCCGTCGGATTCGCTTTCTCACCTTTCAGAGCAGAAGAGGCGGATCGCGCGATGCAGGCGTGGACTCGAAATCGAAAGCTTCGGACCCGGAGGCGATACTCATCGGTTCAAAAGTCGAAAAATTTCGCTGCGGACGTTGTCGCTATGGGTTCTCCTCTATTTGTGCGTCGGAGTCCTGCACGGGTCGAATTTTCCGAGTTGAAACTCGATCGACCCGATTCGGCCGCACCCGATCCAGAAATCGATCGGCGAGCTTTTTCTGATCCGAGCCGCGAATCGTGTTGAAGCCAATCTGGCCGGCTCGCTAAGGCCTCGCTTAGGCTGCTTAAGCTGGAGGTCTCCGATGATACCTCTGCCCCAAAGGGGTGTCGGAGAAACCTAGACATGCGCAGATACGCACTTTTGGGTGGAACGGCTCGGAATGAAGGGTATGCTGTGGAAGCGGACAGGGTGGCGAAGCGTGCCGGTGGCACGGGAAACCGTGCAATCGCGAAATCCGAAATTCATGAAAATATTCTATGCACCGAAAAAAAAAAAACCTATTTCGCAGGGACGGGTTGTGTGAAGCCGATGTTCGGCCATCTCTCATCCTTATAATTATACTTAATATATAAAGGGTTAACCTGTCCATATCAGGGTGCAATTCCGGGAAATTCCTCTCGGATGGATGAACGGATTTTCATGTGTGAAATGTCAATCGAAAGCTGCCGTTTACGGTTAGGTCTGTCACGTTTTAACCTTCCTGGTTCCAATGGTCTGCCGGCATGGCAAAAGCCCAATCGAGTTAGGCATAGGGTTTTTAATGGAAATTAATCGTTGGAAATCGGTCCCGCACCTTCACCAAACTTTATACAATTGATTTTCATCTTCATTTTTNCAAACTTTATACAATTGATTTTCATCTTCATTTTTACTATGGTGAACCCATTGAGCAGAACACGGAAGATGGAGCAAAATAGAAGCATGCTCGACCTCTGGCGGCGACTCAAGCAAGAACAGGACTCCCAAGTCAGAATTAAGATGACGACCAATTCGCCGCTTCAGAGACTCGTCCATCGTTGCACGCCTGCTTTCGACAAGGAAGTGAGCGCTTCGTCCCTTGAGAAACAAGGAGGGCTCATCTCAAGTTGGTGCTTCACACTCTCCCTTCCGAGTCATTCATTCGGGATGGGCGAAATATGCTAATTGGGACTCGGGGAAGGGACGTCTCACCTCTCGGCTCGAGAGGCTTTTCCTCTTGGCAAGGAGGCAGACGAGCGTCCGGCTCGGAAGGAGGGCCGTGGAGTGTCGTAGGGCGTTGTTCTTCGAGATGTTCGAGATGGAGTCTTTCCTTTATTGCTTCTGAGATGGAGCTTCCTTTTTCCTATATTGCATCGGACAAACGTACGTGCACTCGGCGAGTGATTTTTCCAGTCTCAGAAACCCAGTACAAATGTCTTTCTTCGATGGTATGAAAGGGTCTGCTGACACGTTTCATGTCCATTATTTTCCGGCTATTTCTTAATCAGGCAAATGAAGCGGCAAAAACCTCCCGTCCTCAATGGAACGCACTCGAGGTCATTGATTCGCTTCCTTCGTAATCATTAATTAATTATTTAATTATTTGATTGATGATGCTCAGTCAGCCCTCTGAGTTCCGACGACGGGTGGCACACGCCCTATCGCTGACGATTTAATCGTGATTTCAGAAAGAAAGAGAAATTCATATCTGATATCATCTGAGAACCCAGGAAGTGCCAGAAATTTCGGCTCTGGCCTACAAGATTAACGGAGGCTTAACGGATCAGGGAACGTTCTGAAATAGATTGTCATGCTTTTCAATGATGATCATTCGCCATCCGAAGTGAAACGGGAAAGACGCAATTGTGATTAATTTCCACTTGATGGAACATTTCCTCTTGATTCTGCGGCCTCGCAGGCCTCTCTTCGATTTCGAAGGCCTGCCCTCCATTTCGAAGGCCTCCATTCGACATCGATGGGAGGGAAACAACACTGAGAAGTGATGGAACGGGGGTGAGCGACATCGGAGAGAAGGATATCATCATGCACGACATGTTTGTACTCAAGATCTCCTCTAGACCTCTTCTAGATCTCCGCCTTCTCGCCCGTGAATAGGGAGATTTCGTCGGCATGGGCTTCTTCCACTGGTTTTTCCTCGTGTTAATCGGCGCCTTTGTTCATCAGGTCTTGAAACGTGACCCCCGCCCATTTTTGGGGTGTACCGGAGACCGGGGAAGTGGTACTACGTCAAGGTCCTCGTCTTCCGCGCTCTTCTGTGGCTAAGAAAGGTCGGTACTGCTGTCAGTTCATTAGAATGTCATGATTTTTCGCGTCGGTAATGCGCAGGCTGATGGGTATCTCTCACACAAAGATTATCGGTTCCAGGAATTAATCTCACGATTTAGCGAAAATGGCTTGTGGCTTCATGGTAATAGCATGAAACTAACTCTATATGGAATAAGGGGCTATCGGTTCAGATGGAATCCCATACTTACCCAAGTTGCCCAAGTTTCCCAGGTTACCCAAATTACCCAGGTTACCCAAGTTACCCAGGTAACCCAAATTACCCAGGTTACCCAAGTTACCCAGGTTACCCAAGTTGCACGCGAACGTTCAGGAGGATGTTCGACCCTGCCTCAAAGAGGTTCCTTCGCGTTTGAGGTTCAGTCATGAGCAGCTTTCAAAAGCTAAATTTAGGCGTTGTTTATCGTCAATACATGACGTCATTGAAGGACGTTTGTCGAGCATCAAAGAAGCGTTTTTCAGCGGTATCCCAAAATGGCAATAAAGGTTCACACGACTGACTCTACATGTCGCCAAAGTAACCGCAATAGCGCGTCAGTGCCCTACGCAGCTGGAATTAGTCTCGAATACTTTCCTTGCGATGCCCGATCTTTCGATCTCCCAAATGCACCACAGAGGAAGACATCTGAATTCTGAAGAAAAATATCGGATTTATTATTGAGAGGTTACCCATCCCAACGAGTCTCGAGAAAACTTGGGCCTGAAGGAAGGAGGGAGATCGGTTCGATTCCCGAAGCAATTCCATGAACAGGTTGCTTGAAACGACATGGTCGACACGCCACATCACATACGGCGCGTGTCATGCACGATTTCGTAAAAAAAATCGACTTGGAAACGTCCAGCTCATCGGCAATGCATGGAATTTTCTGTTTTCACGAACGGGTCGCTCGGATGACTGCGATCTTGTCGGCCGCGTGAGATGCGGCGGGTCGTCTAGGTCGTGGTTCATCGGCGAGTTCGTCTCGGCCTACTGCAAACTCCTTATAACCAGAAACAGATTTGCTTCTTGGACGTGACGTTCAGACCCTACGACTCTAGCAGTTGAAGATGAACTTCTGCCGGTGGAGTTCCATTAGCATTGAGAAATCTGGCAGCAGCACGCACTTTATGCTCGACCACGTCTCCAAGCGCTGCTCCACACAAGCGCGAAGAGACGATGGCACCAACCGAATTTTTATCGAAAGAAGAATGCATGCACTCCCTTCATTCTCGGTAATTTTCAAGTCCGTGCTCGACAATGTCTTCCTCACAGCATCATCTTCGACCTTATTTTTCGGACAGCCCTCGTGCGTCCTTTTATGGATGCCTGCGAATACGTAGTAATACGTCCTTCATGGAACTGATCCAAATATTTCTATTCCACCTACAGTTTCTTTTCTATTCGGGAATAACACGCAGAAAGGTCGCTCCCAACACACCCGAATCGATTTTTTGTTAGACCTGCCCGAGGAAACCTTAAGAAAGGGAGGAATCGGCGTGGGAAGAAGTTCCCATGGAGCCAACCGTCCTACCTTCGGCCTCCAAAGCCAGAGTTTCCTGGGGGCTCCATGGGCTGTGGAATCTCTCTATTGGCTCCATTCGTTGAAGGGTTGGATTGTGGTTCTCTGGGGTGCCGTGGAGGAAAGATCCGGCGGCGTGTGGAAAGGATTGGAGACTGGTTTCAGCTGTAGCAGGTTTGCACTTGCTATAGCGCCTGCTTCAGAGACATTTGCCTGGGTTGTTCGAATCATCTCTTCGTTGAAGACAATGTTGTATGGATAGCACATATGTACTTAAAGGAAATACCTAAGGCTCAACGAATGTCCCTCAAAAACGTCATGAATTGGCGATGGAACGGCACGTTGACTATTAGCCCGAAAGCTACTCATCCGTGAACACGGTACGTCCCAGAACTTTTTTGAAAGCAGAACGTTCATGCTTTACTGTTCATGTGTTCCTGTGTTAGCAAAAGCATTCCATGTATCGCGAGCAGACGCATGCCAAGTGCATTGAGGTCGGTAAAGAGAGACCGACTTGTGTTTACTGGGAAGGGTCGGTAAGGAGGGGCGGTTACAAGGGTTCCGTCACCATCTTCCGATACCACTTGCAGCCATTTTAAAGATCTTTAGAGGGAATTGTTCTCTGGTCTGGGAAAGAAAAGTAAAGAAAGCCTACGAAGGTCAACTTAGTAGAGCCTACCTATTCCATCGTTGATTCGAGACGAATCGAACGAGAGCGAGTATCCTCTCGTTGCCCATCCTCCCCGACTCATTCATTCACGATCGTCCCTCCGTACATCGCCGATCCCACTCCCTCTGCACTCCCACCCGACAGACCCATCTGAAGCGGAAGGGCTCGGGAATCGCCGGCTTGGGCTTCGGAAGGAAGAAGACGCTGAGCCCCCTGCAGATGGACGGCCTCCGCCCTCTCTCGAATCACCCGAAGGCCATCGACGCCGTGTACTTCAGCGGGGCGAGCGAGGAGGGGTGCTACTTGGTGGGGGCTGCGGCGAGGCGGCCCCAGGGCGTCGTCGATGGGTATCTTCACATCAGGGTACCGTGCATGATGTACTCGTACTTGCGAACGTGGATTTCACGGGATGATGGGTTTCGTTCCGACTCGATAGATCCCGGGGGTGGGGCTGTTGCGGAGTCCGAAACTTCCCGACACGACGCTGAAGATCGACACGGACGCGGGAGACGACGAGGATCAATTCGGCGCGGAGGGACTTCTTTTCACCCCGCTCGAACCCATGAGACGCTGGGGAATCCGCTACCACGGTCCCATGAAGTAAGTCCCAGGACCGAAAAAATGTCTCGGACTCGGCCGATTCGTCACTTTTCGCTTGGGCGCAGGCTGGACGAGAAGACGGTGCAGGTGGATCTCCAGGGCGAATGGATCAGCGACCTGGCGTATTTCGACTTCGACACGGATTTGAGTCCTGGCNTCACAAACACAACTTTTAATAGAAGGCTTCCTAGATGAAAAAGTTTTTGCCCGCATCAAGAATAATGATGCAAAACGTTTCGTGCCGATTCGCCAGGAGGAAAGCAGTACTGGATGGAGGTGAAGGTACTGGAATCCCCCGAGCTGTTGATAGCTGCAGACTGGGAGGCTCGAGTCGTCCTCCGCTTGGTCGCCTTCACCTGCAACCGCCTCAAGGGTTGGGGCGTCGCCGAGTGGCAATATCGCAACCCGGACGGGAGGAGGGTTCAAGCATTCCAACGGAGTTCCTGATTGCCAGCGGTGGCGTTCTTTTTGATTTTAGGGTCGACTTCATGAGGCGTTCGTGTTTTCTTCTGCTTCTTGGGTGTTGATCTTTCCGGCTTCTTTCTGGTGTGGTGATTTTCGTTTCACCGAGTTTGTGGTCTTCGTGTTGAGAGTGTGAATTGGTATGAAATGAAATGAATGCCAAGTCGGTCGTTACAATGTCATTATCTACGCAAAGACGTTGTTTATAACCGTATTTCAGGTATGGTAGATATTTGAAATGTGGTATCCAAGTACATACGAAGGATACTTAAAGTTCATGAGAAATCCTTCTTTCGTCGAAGTCCCTGTGGCACAATTTTGTCGGAGGAAAACAGGAAACTATAGAAAAATGAAGTTCAGTTGGTCTTTTGCGTACCGATTCCAAAGCAAAAAAACATTGGGGGATATTTTTCGGGGAATAAAAACTTTCCTATTCAAACATTGCCTCTCAAATAGAAATATTTCGTCCAAGTAGGGTGAGACGACAGTCACTCTTTTGATTAACACGATCCTCCATCAACCGACTCGTTCTTTCGTATGTCCACTCAAAATGCAACATATCTTACCCATCCCACCAACTTGAAAATATCCTGATGGATTTGAAGGTTCCCCCAATCTTATGGATTGTAGGTCATCAACGCCAAAAAATATGGAAAATTTTCATGTCCCTCAAATCGTGGTTGCTTTTCGACCCCATTTATTTTATATCGAATGAATTTCACTAATTCGCCTTCCTGCCCCTTGTGCGGAAATCATTGAACCTTGGCTAATTTGTTTGTTCTGGGTAAAAAAAAGTTAACTCCCTTGAGCAACTTTGGGATTGTCCTTTTCCACAAAATTAATTCTTCTTTTTTTCTCGACGTCAAATTTCTCATACCTATATTCACTTAAAAAAAAACATATATAAACATTTTCCCCCTTAATGTCAAAATTCCCATTGATTTTCTAGTCATATTAAATATATTGATAAGGACATCTGGTGGTGTAAACAAAAGCGAAAGGGATGAAGTAACAACCGGGAAATTGGAAGGACCATCCCCCTTCAAATACCACCATCATCCAAGTCTTTTTGAACTCTGGGACATCAAAGTTACCCGAAGGTGTACCTTTGATGTGATTGATGGGAATTGGTGTGCAATCGGGTCGAGTGATGTGATGTTAGGATGTTATTGCAAGAAGCCCAAGCCGGTGCTGCCCCCTTGCAACAGGACCCAAGACCCCGGAATATTCCATGGGGTCAGGGTCTGCTTGATGCAGAATGGGATTCACGCGGGTCCCTCATTCCTGCGAACCAAGACATTCCCAAGCGGAGGGGGGTTCGATTGAGACCGAGCAGAGGAAGGGAGTGACACTATTTATATGGGGATGTCACCATAGGTTTTTCTCCCTTTTTCTTCTCTACTCTTCCCCTTGTGAGGTGTGTTGTGTGTGTGTGGATTGTGATCGGCTTATAGGGATCGTTAATTTGAAAACTTTTTTTTTTTTAAAGATACCATGGTGTTTACTTGCTGACGCTCCACACCTGCAGTTGGCATCGAGCCGAGTGGATCTCCGGATCCGGTCTGGAGCCAAAAGCCCGATCCCCGTGGTTTCGCGTTTTCGGCCAGAATTCCGCCGCAACACTCGCGTGCAGACGCCATTAACATCTGCAAATGTTTTTTTCCTCCCATGACTCTCGGCACGTGACAGGCAGCGCTCAACTGCGTATAAATGAGGGCCTCTCGTGCCGGTCGAGGAATCATTCGCCCCAGCGTCGACGACTCAGTCGGCCCTAGAAGAGACTAACATGGAATTCGTCGTTGCTGTGAGTCCCGCGTTTTTTTCGCTCCACAATTTTTCGCCTTCTTGGGGACTCGCGCCCGCGGCATTTTTAAGCTAAACAAAGATTCGCGATTCGTGTATGACGTTTTTCTCCCTCTTTTCGTCCAGTTCCTGCAATTGGCGGTGACGGTGCTCGCGTTGGGAGATGCTGTCTTCGCCCAGGTCTGTGAATTCTGAAATCTGCGAATGCGAACCCGCGAAAGATTGGGGAAGTTGAGGTCTCGCGACCGCGATCTTGGCCATATGTTAAACGCAATCTAAATACTGTTTATCTAAAAAAAAAAAAAGGGAAGTTGCTAACAAATCCAACTCTACACCTGATCCATCAGGTAGAATTATAAAAGCTGATCGTAATATGTAACGATATCGCAACATGAGATGGGAAGAAAAGAGTCATTTTTAAGAATGGTACTGCGAGGGAAGGAGATGAAAATGTCCGCTCAGTTCGAAACCGAAGGGCCGGATTTCTATTGCGAATCAAACTATTACCTGGACCTTAGCGAAAGCTCTCTAATATGCGACAAAATGATACTTGTTTACGTTATTCGCTTTCATTCATTATTATTTGCGTCAGATTCGTTCGGTTCTGAGGCTCAGAGCATATTCAAGAGTTTGGGGAACTCATGACTCATTCATGAGTTTAGGGAACGCTGGGGGAAAGCCGGACTTCTCATCACGTCACACGTCCCGACGATGCGCATTTTTGAAGCGCGAAAATTGCATCAGTGGAACGTGCCTGATCCTTCTAATCCGTGATGGATTTTCGTAATCGTGATTGTAATCCTTGACCTGAGACAGGCTAGCAAATATTTAGGCATGATGGACGTGGAAACACAGGGATAGGATTAACATTTCTCTGTGTTGACAGTGATGTCATCATTCGATTAAGAAACAGGAAAAGAAAGAGTTTGATTTCCTCCCTTTGAACCTTTCAGCAGTGGCGATCCCCATAACTGGCCCAATTTCTTATATGGGGAACTTCTCTTAGGCGGCAGAAGTCTCACCTCTTAGCTACGAAATGAGATGTCGGTATTGGAATGTGCAATGTTTAACCTCGCAACTGCTTACCTATTTTCTTTTTTCCCATTCCTGAATTTCTAGATCGCCTGGAATGGAAACAACTGGGCATTGGGATGCGATTTTCGAGGAAACGATTTGTCCAATGCTCAAATACGCGGGGAAGATTGCGGTGGAAGATGCGCTGCGACCCAAGGATGCACTCATTTCACCTGGACCACGTGGAATGGAGGCACCTGCTGGATGAAGCAGGGTCAGGCTTCTCAGAGCGATGCTTTCGCAACCGGAGACTATTCCATGGTGTGTGGTGTGATTGGGCAGTCTGCTCCTTCTGGGAAGGCTGCAGGGAAAACCACTCGATACTGGGATTGCTGCAAACCCAGC